ATTTTTCCAAGAGTACTAGGACCGCTATAAGTAGGTGATATTAGGAAAAACTGAAAACAGAGCTTGCTAGAGGACTATACCACATTCTGTGCCAGAGAGGATGGATGGAGCTGTGCCTGCCAGGCCGAGGGTATGGCACTGAGAGGCGAGGGCGAAAGGGTGGGATCAGGCATCCAGCCCAGGAGCCTGGCGGGGTGGTACTGCAGTACCCAAGATGGGACACAGAGGAGAGGAAGGGCGCTTTGGCGAGGAGCTGAGGAACTCAATTTCGCACTCTTTCTTTCATTTCTTCGCTTCCTCCTTTGACTTCTGATGAAAAGATGAAGCCATCCTCACTGACACTTCTAACACCCCCCAGTTGCCCCTGTCGAACCCCAATTGTAGTGATTTGACCGGCACCCCAGGAGTACTCAGGGCAAGTTCAGCGTTAGATGTATGACGGTGGTTATTTAAGCCTTACATTTTCTTCCCTCGCTTTTATTGAAAGGACAGAGTGTTATCACCAGCTATTAGATGCACATAGACTTGCAGTTTCAAAGTTTGAAGTGCTGACAGGTCAAGACAAAAGCTTCTCCGTGTTGAGAGATGAGGGAGGTCTTCAGAAGTCTTGGCCTAGGTGGCATCAGGAGCCCAGGACCACTTGGCTGGTTTGAGACCAGCGGGGACAGGCGGGAAGGAATGCTCTCATATTTGCTCAGTTACAATAGCGACTCCTTCTTTGTGTAAAATGGTAATGAGGCCATTAGGAGAGGCTCACCTGAAGTGCAGCTTGTGAATCCAAGGTAATTAAACACCTCCTGAATGAAAGAGAAAGGCCAGGGAAGGTTAAGTGAGGAATAATCTGCGGCACAGGTGGCCCAAGGCCTTTGAGGAGCCAGAAGAAGAGCGACAGTGGCCCGCACCATTTCAAAGAATGGAAATGTCACCCTAGTCCCTGAAAGGGGCAGGATTTTCATTACTGGGGGGTGAGGAGTGAGTAATATTTTTAACACTTTAATGAAATACAGTTCTTAAGGTCCACAGCAGCGTCTGCCCCACAGGGGCTCTCACCACAGTGGCAGTAGGCTCAGGGGTCCCACGAAAGGGAGGTCACAGCAAACCAGTCGTATATCCAGGTGCTGAAATAGACCACCAGCTGCTGGCAGAGGAACAGCTTTTCCTGGCTCACCTTCGTGAGAGATCTGGTAGCCACCCCTTGGTGCACTCCTTCCTCACTCTGACCCTCCCTCGCCTGACATGGCAGGCGAGTTTGTGCACATGGCACACCCAGCTGGCAGCAGCGGTGGAGTTTCTCTGTACTTGGGTAACTTTTATGAGTGCTTGCTGTGAGCTAAGCGTTGTGCTGTGTGGCTTCAAGTGTCCTTTCAGCTTCTCTTCACTGTATAAAATCCAGGTTTTTTTCTCCGGTACCAGGAACCGAACTCACGACCTTGCACTTGCCAGGCAGGAGCTTTGCCGCTGAGCTAAATCCCCAGCCCCCTGTATAAAATCCAGGAATGAAGGATGTTTGCTACTCAGGTTCTTGCCTTGAGGTCTCTGCTGTGTCCATACCAAAGCACATATGTGAATCCTTGTAGCAACAATATTTGTTTGTTTGTTTGTTGTTTTCCGGTACCAGGAATCGAACTCACGACCTCGCGCTTGCCACACAGGCGCTGTGCGCTGAGCTAAATCCCCAGCCCCAACAACAATATTAGTAATCGCCAAAAAGTGAAATGTTCATCACCTGGTGAGCAAATAAATAAGATATGGTGCACTCATGCAATGGATTATTGTTCAGCCATGAAAAGGAACCTTGAAGTATTAAGACATGCTACACCACCAGTGCAAATTGTTCATCATGAATATTATGCTAAGTAAAAGAACCTAGTCATAAAAGACTACTTATTTTATGATTCCATTTATAGTAAATGTCCACTATTGGCAAGTCCATAGAGACAGATAGATTCATGGTTTCCAGGGAGGAGGTAGGGATAGAATTGGTGAGAAATGGTAAGTGACAGCTAATGAGTATGGGTTTTCTGGTTTTATGAACCATTGAACTATACACTTTAAGTTAATTTTACAATATGAGAAATATATAAAGCTATTTTTAAATTTCCTTATAGAAACTTGGCAACAAAAGATAACTTCTGCTGGGTGTGGTGGCACACATCTGTAATCCTAGCACAGGGGAAGATGAGGCAAGAGGATCACCGCAAATTGAAGGCCAGCCTAAACTACGTAGTGAGACCTTGCTCGGGTGTGGTGGCACATGTCTGTAATCCCAGTACTTGGGAAGCTGAGGCAGGAGGATTGTTGCAAGTTCAAGACCACCCTGGGCTACAAAGTGAGCTCAAAGCCAGCCTGAACTGCATAGCGAGACCCTGTCTCAAAAAGAAAAGAAAAAAAAGCCAAACATAGTGAGACCTTGTCTCAGAAAAGAATGAAAGAAAGAAACAAACTTCTGTGGATCATTTCTAAAGTGTACAACAGTCCACCCCAGACCAGTGATTCTTAATATTTATAGGTTCACATATACCTTTAGTACTCTAAAGAAAGCTATTAATCCTATGTCCAGAAAACTGACCATCACTCACTCATACTGCACATTGGTAGTTGGTTCATGAATCACCTATAACTAATTTTCTCTTATGTTTTCATTTTATCCTAAGTTTTACTGTATGCTCCTATAGTTAAGCCCCTTACAGAACTGGTTTCCCAGAAATGTGTTCTCATTGTGTCACTTGTATACTTAGAAACAGTCATTAGCTTTCTGTTTCTTTCAAGATGAAGTCAACTATTACAAACTCTGGCAATCTTGGAAACAACCCAAATCCCATCAACTGATGAATGGATAAAAAAGATGTGGTTTTTTTCTACAATGGAGTACTACTCAGCCATAAAGAAGGATAAACAAGACATTTATAACTAAGTGGATGGACCTTGAGACCATACTCTTTAAGTGAAATAAATCAGACATACATGTGAAAATATCTCATTATCTTTGTGGCATGAAAAACTGAAAGTGTAAATGAGAACCAAAATGTATAATAGATATTATAAAATAGGAAGAAGTTGTTCAAAAGGAAAGGGGAACTAGCAAGAGGGGAGGGGGAAAGGAAATGAAAAAAGTGAGAAAAGAAGGATAAAATGGAAACAAAGCTTTATAAATAAGGAGAGGTAGAGGGGTGGAAGGGAGCAGAGGGGAATGGGAAATAAAAGAGGCACCAAGCTATATCATGTACAGGTGCAAATTCTCCATGATGAATGTGATCAATATGTACATCTAAATTGTACCAATAAACTTAATTTTTAAAAAAGATGAAGTAAATGTCCCTTCTGAACCTGCCTTTCTCTCCAGTCTCATCTTAAATCACCTTCCCCCTCATTCTCTCTCCTGAAACAACGTTTCCTATTTTCTGAGCTCCTCCTGACTACGCGGCTTTGCATGTTACTCTCCATACTTATACTGTTCCTGTCCCTCTCTGTTTAGTTATGTACTTGAGCTTGTTCTCTCAGTTCAGCCCTTTTTTTTTTTTTTTTTTTGGTCTTTTTTGAGACAGGGTCTTGCTATGCAGCTCAGGCTGGCCTTGAGCTCACTTTGTAGCCCAGGTTGTTCTCGAACTCACAACGATCCTCCTGCCTCAGCCTCCCGAGTGCTGGCATGTGACACCATGCCCGGCCCCAGCCCTTTTTTTCTCCAGGAACCTTCCCTCCCTCTTGTTACAGACTTGTCACAGAAGCAAAGTCACAAGTATGGGTGTTTTTCTGACTATAAGATCAGGGAATGAGGACAAAGCCTGTGTCTAACTTCACTCCCCGTTGCATCCTTAACACGTAACATAGTCTTGGGTGTGTAGCAGGTAATAAATATCTGTTGAATGAATAAATGGCTCAAAGTCACTGCATTACACCACTCCAGGGAAACCTTGCACATAGAACACTGTGAGAATGGTGCTCCCTGAGACTTACACAGTATGGCATTCTGAGATGAATGAAGAGGGTAGCAGGAATAGTCTGGGAAGCTTGACCTTATCCTTGATATGGAGGGCAACAGCCAGAGCATCAGACAGTCTTTCCTACTTACTCAGGAGGAAAACCCTTTTAGGTCTCACTGTCAGAAAATCTTTATTCATTTGAGGATCTGATTTGTTTATAATACATAGACCCAGGGAATCTCACAACTTTCATGTTTTCCTCTTTGCTTTGGCCACTAGGAGGCTCTAAAGCCAATTTGAAGCCCATTTCTAGCCACCATGTAAGAGTTTATGGCTTATGTTTACATCTGGCTCTAGCTTCAGGTGCTGCTTTTCCCATTGCCGTCACTTTCTTGCCTGTTTTGTTTTAGCCTGTTGAGTTCTTATAAATTGTCACTATTCCTTTAGAATACAGTGTGTGTAGTATATAAATAAACATTTCCTTCTAACATTTGTAAGTAACTTAAAGAGAGAGTGGAATTGTAACTGAAAGTCTTTGTATAGTTTGGACTCAGATTGTAAGACTGATTCTCATTCCAGTTTGGCACTTCTTGGTTCGTTCCTAGGAATGGAGCCTAACTTCTCAGAGATTCTTTCTCTTTGCAGGATAGGACCAATACTCTCTTCCTCATAGGACTGTTGGAAGAAAAACTAGAAAATTTATGTGAGGATACTTACCTGGCATGCGGTAACTGCTTAGGAAGAGTTTTGTTTTTGTTTTTATTTGACATGTCTAATAGGAGCAACATTCATTTAAATTTCAAAAACCTGTGCTCACTTTGGCAGCACATATACTAAATTTCAAAAACCTTCCTTTGGAGCTGGGGGTGTAGCTCAGTGGTAGAGCACTTGCCTAGCATCCCATCACTCCAAAGGAAAAAAATTACCTGTCCTAATACCAAAGGTATCTTTGTTCTACAGCAGTGGCATCAAATTGAACCCCCTGCAAAGGGGTTTTTGAGGGTCTGTGGGTACTGGGCTTAATCAGCCATCATCCTGTAATCAGCCGTCAACCTGCATCTCCTTTCTTTCTGTCACCAGATCTCTTCACTGAAGAACAGGCTGAAAAAGGTATCCACAACCACCGGTGACGGCGTGGCCAGAGCCTTCCTCAAGGCCCAAGCTGCTTTCTTCGGTAGCTACCGAAATGCTCTAAAAATTGAACCAGTGAGTAGCATCTTGGCACATGTCATGATTCATATTCTGTCAGGGCTCAGAAGCCTACCTCGGAGCCCATGGGAAATTATGGTTCTTCTGATTTTTGAATTACCTACAGCAGATTGTGTGTGAACGGGGAAGAGCTGTGTAGGGGATTCCTCCCTCTACCACACCTCTTGGCACAAGGAGGTCATGCTCTCTCTCGTGCATGAGATACATGCACTACTCCTGTGCTAAGCACAGAAAGACACCCCACCCAACAGTAAACACAAACTACATGCTGTGGACAGCACCAGGCCCGTCACACTTGCTGCCACTGAGGACTCACAGGGTGGGAGATAGGGATGATCAGCTTTGCTTTCCAGATGAGGAAATCAAGACTCAGAGCAGAGAAACAGCTTACCAGCAGCCCCAAAGCCTGTGATTTTGCCCTGCTCCTCACTGTCCTTTGTCCTCTAAAGGGACCACGGTTCCATCCTTGAGACAGCAAAGCATCCTGGGAATTTACTTCTCGGTGGCTCCTGCATGTAGCCATGGTTTAAGTGACCACAAAGCACAATGGGGCCCAGTAGGTGGTGTTACGCATCTGTGTGGCCCTTCTACCTTTCCCAGCTCCGGTGACTTACATATGTCCCTTGCCTGGGAGGTGCTGAGTTATTGGAGGATGCAAAGGCACCAAGGCTTCGCTAAAGCGGAAGGCACTTCCGTTTCTCCAACTTCCGTGAGAAGCCTTCTGATATCTGTCCTCTTAGCCTTCTTTGGCCTCCTGGCCAAGGGGAAGGTGCACTCATCCTGGGTGAAGTGGAGTATGGAAGACCAGCTTAGGTCACACCGCCTGTATGCCAGGGCTGTTGATTTCTGGTTTTATTTCAAGTTTATAGCATTAAACTTGAAGTGCCAAAAGCTGCGTGGATGTCAGTTAGTACATTTCGTATAAAACTTTTGAGCACGAACCAGATCACACTTCCTCATAAGCCAGTTATGCACTGCTATCTTTTTTACTGCCTTCACTGCAGCATGTGTCTAAGTGAAACACAGACAGTCAGCAAGCACCTTGTCTCTCTTCCACCCAGGAGTGGCCAGGGTGGCGGTGCTCAGGGAGCAGCGTCCTAACACACCCTTCTCATCTTCCTGAGGCCTTATTTCCCCAGCCGCCTCTGCTTGGGGGCCGTGTTATGGTCACACCACAGAAGGGATGCACATTCTTTCTGTCCCCTGAGAGATGCTTGCCTGATCCCCTAGAGCCGTTCAGCCTGAGCAAGTTTCCACGTCCTGCTTGTCTCAGAGTGAAGTGGCTCTAATTGTTTGTCGTGATCTTAGACCCAGCTAGGCCCGTCAGGTTTGGTGCTGTGCTGGGAACTGACAGACTAGAAGTATTTTGCTCTGATAGTTGCCTCATTGTTGTCACGTATGTATCTGGAATCCAGAGGTGGTCGATTCTGGGCACATACTGCCAGATATGATTTGAGCACGTGTTGCTCCATAAGGGGACTCTGTGGTTGTACTTGCACTTGACTCTGAGAAGCCCTGGATTTAAGGAGTTTAAAGTCTGGCTCTGCTTCTTTTGTCTGTATAAAACTTGAGTAAGCTGCTTACTCTGTTTAAACTTTAGTTTCTTCACCTGCAAAATGAGGATGATGTCCTTTCTATATCTCCGTATTGTTGTAAGGGTCAAATGAACCTGAAGTGTTTCATGAGAAAGGTGAAACCTGAATCAGGTCTGGTGAATAAAGTTTGGAAAGCGAAGGCAAAAACTCCCCTCCTGTCATGGGTGTGGCACTAGCTGAGCCTGCAGAGGCTGGGGGCCACCCCTCGGGGCCTGAGGGTCAGCTGCTTTGTCTGGAGTGAGGTATAGGTGGGGAAATGGAGCTGCAGGAGAGGTTGGAGCTGGTTTTGGCAGCACCTCAGATGCTAGGCTGACTAAGAGTGAGAACTTCACCTCGTAAGGAGTGTAAGGTTTGGAGCAGAGATACGATGCGGTCATTGTCAGGCTTAAGGAGTAAGCCAGTGATGGACTGAAAGAAAAGCTGGCAGCGGAGAGACCATTTAGAGGAACATTATGGAAAGTCAGAAGAGAGCCCTCCGGGGTTACACCAGAAAGTGGTACCGAGAAGGAAGAAATGAGTGGGCACAATAATAGATAACATATGGTAGAGGAAGGGCAAGAAATGTCAAAATGTTCCCCATGATTTGGAGCCTGGGAGAGGATGATGATGCCCCGATAGCAAAAGAGAAAGGTTAATGCCATGATACTCACAGTAGCAATATTAGTAACGTGAAAAAATTGGAGCAGATTGAGTGTTTATGATAGGTAACTGGTGAGGTAAGGTAAAGTACTTCCATATAAGAGAGTACTACATCGCCTTTAAAAGCATCATTTTAAAGATAAAGGCATGGATTTGACTGCAGACATGGTACTTTTCCTTGAATCTAAGCTGCCATTCAATGGCAGGACAGACCATTGTTGTAGATAACATTAAGAAAGGGAAGAGAGCACTGCTGGTTATAATTGAAAGACACCATCAATTGTAAGATGCATCCAGATTTCAGAGATGTTACAGTGGGAAGAAATTTCCATCTTAGAATCAATGAAATATGGCAGATCTATCGTGTAGTCAGTCCTGTTCATCTATACCAGAACGGCTTTCTTCTGTGAGTCCAAGAGAGAGAGCAGAAGGCCTGAAGTTTTCGAATCAAGCCATTGGTCAAATGGGTTTTTAAGCCATAAATTTAATTCTGGCAAATTCTCATCTGAAAAATGGGATAGCAACGTTCCCTGCACAAACTTGTATTGGGGATTCAAGTGAGCCTGAGGAGGGAGGAGGGGCCAGGGCTGTACAGCCCACGCTGGGGAGAAGGGCGTCCTATGCAGGCAGCACAGTGCTGAGGGGGCAGGGACACCTCCCTGGGGCCACTTGTCTTTCAGTTGTTTCTCTGGTTATTAGAATAGCATTCGTTCCTGGTAAAAATGGTTAATGTAACTGAGGAGCAGAAATAGGACACACCTCAGTCCCATCACCTGTTAAGATATGCTGCGTTCATGCCTCCACCCACTAACCTCCCCACACCTGTGCGCACACACACGTTACACACACACACACACCCACACACACACACACACTGCGCTCCAGGGTCTTTGGTTTGCTCTTGGTTCATTTTCTTTGGAGACTTCATTTTTTTTGTTGTTTTTCTTTTCAGCAGCTGAGCTATTCCTGACAAAATAGTTTAGTATCCCAATTATTAGTCTGTTTTTGCCTTTTAATAGGTTCTCTTCTTAAACATCATTGATAAGGGCTGTATGTGTCCCAGCAGGTGACCCCCTGCAGCTCTCAGCCCAGGTATGGATCACAGTCATGAGGAGAGTAGGGTACAGGGACAGGCTTTTTCAAAGGTATATATCTGAGCCCTCCTCATAGATTTTTATTAGTTCTTGTGATCTGAACTTGGTGTTGAGGCCCAGCACATTATTCTAATGCCAGTCTTTTTGCTTATTGTGACATTTCACAATTTTAAACTACACTGTGGTGAGCATCTTTATATAAATCTTAGTGTATGGTCTGAAGGATTTTTTAGGCAGATTCCCTGCTGTAGGTTTACCAGGTCAAAGGATCCATGAAGTGCATTTATAGCCTGTGGCACTGAGAGTGATGGAGAAGCGGGTGGAGATGTGTGGTGCACAGCCGTGGAGGCAGGTGCAGCCCCGGCCTGGAACAGCATGAGGCTGAGGGTAAAGACGGCCTCTCTCGGGCTCCCCTGCCCTCACTGCTTTGTGGTGTGTCCCAGCTGCCTGACATGCAGGCGATGGTGTGGTGGCTTCCCACCCTGGGCCAGCAGTGCAATCATGGGACTTGGGATTGCAGAGTCACAAGGTAATGCTGTGTTGAAAACATGAAACCTGCCAGACTTGAGCTGCTCCTTTCTGCTGTGCTGCCAAATGTGACTTTGAGTGGGTCCCTCTGCTTCTCTGAGCTTTATTTTCTTTCTATATATGGAAGTGGAATCCCCTGCCTGCAGGATTATAGTGAAACTTAAACAAGCCTAGCACAGTGCCTGCCTATGAGCCCTGGCCCTGGCCCTTACCCGCGGCCTCATGTCTGCTGAGGACCCTGCCCACTGGGAGCAGCTTGAGGGATGGCTCCCTCTAGGCAGCTCAGTTCCACCTGCCTCTGTAAGGAATGGTTGAGCCTTGTTCTTCTAGGCAGAGATGAGCAACAGGAAGGCCCTTCTCCTGGCTTAAAGCTGTCTTGAGATTTTCAATTCTGTGGCCATTTTTTTCCCCTTTCTTACGCGAAAAATTTCATAACACATCTGGCTGGGGAGCCTTATGAGCTTTGTGCTCTTCCCCTACCCAGAAGAGGGAAGGGTGTTTGCAGAGGCTAGCTTGTGCCAAGAACAGCCTGGCCCAGCTCAGGGGATGATGTGTCTCTTCAAGGCCAGGTAGATTGTTTTAAAGGGGCCAGAAAGTAAGATGAGGTGATTACAAGGGTGTCCACCATAGCCAAGTCCACCACCTCCTGAGTGCCTTCCCACTCGATGAAACTTGGTTCATCTTGGAGTTGCTTCATGTCTTCGATCTCAGTAATTTCCCCATGACGGCTACGCATCTTGCAGATGGAGGATGGCAGCTTGGATTGTCAGTGACTTCCTAGTACATGGTAGAGCTAGGAGCTGGGAGCAGACTTGGGTCCCAGACCCAAGTTCCTTCCACCATACCCTGTTGCCTGTCTTGGTTGTAGTTCCCACATGTTCCATATTAATAATTCCTTCTCCCAGGGTTTCCGGTGCCAGGCACAGATCATGGCACAGTATGTAGGTATCAGTGAGTATAATTCAGAGTGACTGATGGAAGAAAAAGGGAAAGAAATGAAGGAAGAGGGGAGTGTTTGGGGAAGGAGGTTGGCCTTGTACATACATTGTTTCCTGTCCTGTCTGTGCTCTTTGGAAGTTGCTGCTCCTAGCAAAGGGGAGGGTGTCTGCAAATCACGAGGGCATGTGACCCATTTTTCAGT